AGTTTATAATCCTCTCCAGCTGTGAAGCTCTGGAATCTGTTGATTTTTTTTTCCTTTCTAATTGCTTCTATACTCCACCAGAAATATTAAAACCTCCCTGAATCCTGTTGCCTTCACTCTCTTCTCCCTGTTAAAAAGGTCCTGACCATTAATGTACAGCAAGCAGAGCATACCATCGCCTATGTATGAAGATCCTGCAGACGTCAGGGCGGTTGATCTCAATACACAGAAGAACTGACCTTGACTGGCGGTGCATCGAAGCGCTTTGAAATCGTGACCTTTGGCTGCCTGTAGCTTACATACGCTCCAGTTCTCTGCGGAGTCACAGCAGAGAAAGTGCTGGAGGATTTCTATAGGGGACTCAGGAGGAATGTTCCTACTCCTGCATACTGTGGCTGTCATTTGAATTACACTCATTTATGTCCACGCCGTGCTTTTGTCAAACTTTTAAATACTTGATGTGATGCTGAAGTGGATTGTTTTGTTACTTCCTGAAAAGCAGCCAGCGTGGAGATTGGAGCTTTTTCTCTCAGCATCGACTGTATAGGATTTGACATGGTTTTGATTGAAAGGAGTTTCATTCCGACTGCTTGCTGCTCGTTTGAAATGGGGCCAGTCAGGAAAATCACTTTCAAACGCACTCGTTTCAAAAGAAGAAAATCCCTTTTTCTGGACTTGAATAAGTTTCTCTTCTGCAGTAATGTTGTCTGAGTGAATATTATACCCATAATGATGTTAAATGTGTTCCCAGACGGAAGCATACTAAGATGATTAATGAGACCCTTCCTAAACTAGAGGATCATTTATGCAAAAGTGCTGTTGAGCATAGTAGCTGGAATTACACAGGGATCATGTGATCTCTGTTTATTTGTTCGGGGAATTCAAGGGGGGGTGTTAGGAAATGTTTGGCTGACTCATTCACTCTCTCACTCTCTCAATGAATAATCAGCTTAACATAAAGGCTTAAAGCATCAATTAGAGGATTGACGCCACTCTTATGTCTCTGTGCTCAGTAAGAACTGGAGCAAGGAGTTGGTTAGCTTAGCTTAGCATCGAGACTACAAACAGAAGGACGCACCTCAAAAGTCAAAATCTACCCATTAGCACAGTTTCTGTACCGATATAAAATGAGAGATCATGTGTGATACGATGGTGAGAACAGAGCCAGGAGAGTATCACCCCTGGTTTGCAGTCTTTCTGATTGGCTGAGCTAACTAGCTGAAGGCTGAAATTAGTTTCTGTTTCAGCTGTGTGTACACACGAGAGTGAAAAACATGAATTTCAAATAATTTGCTTAAAGAAAAAAAAAAGGGTGAGATATTTCTCACCAGAATTGATTTCTTTGGCAGTGTGAGAAACTTGCACCCTGACCTTCACGCTCAGTCTTGCGGATAATATAATTGAATGTTTAACGGAGTAAACAAACCACTGAGATGCATGCTGCTTAAAGATTCATAGGGTGAGGATGGGGATGGATCCACGGGTGGAGGACTTGCACCAATAACTTCGGTATCTAAATGATAAGTGGCTGCAGCTGAAACTCTCTTTGTTTGAATTGGAGACTAGTTGCCTCAGCTGCCAGGGCTCCCTGCTCCTCAGCCCGACCTCCGACCTCCCTGACAAAAGAGGCATGCCTGAAAAACTGCTCAGAAATCAATAAGAGCAGAAAATACATGTGTGATGTACAAAATAAGCCCCTTTTGTACATCATCCTGACACTCAATAGCTCAGAAATAGCTTTAGTAAGGCACACGTTCTTCTTAAAACTCCTGACTACTGGGTTTTATTAATATATTTCATAGATCAGTGATGTGTTATTTTCCCGCTGACTACGTGTGTGTGTGTCTCCCTCAGCAGAACGCTCACTCTGTGTTTCTCACACTTTGCTTCATAATTCATCACGTAGACCCTCTAAATGGACCGTTGACCTCTGACCTTCTTACTGGGCTCCAGGGGAAAATCAATTTATTAGCTATTTATTGACATTTCCAAGAACAGAAGCTGTAATTTATGGCAAACACCCCTGTTAGACTAATTAGCAACATTATCTCGGGGCAATATATCCAGCAGGCGCTCCTATCTGCAATGTTTCAACATCCACAATGTGACTTATTGTGATATTTAGGACAAACATTTATTGTACCAAGAGGGGGGAACCATAATTTCTCTGTTGATACTCAGACTGTTCACCTAATATCATGAGAGATATTTCATTTTTTTAACTACTAGTACTACATTTTGGACAGACAGTCATGGTACCCAGAGGGTGACTCATAACGACTCTGGTGTTCCTGTTACTTCAAAGGCACTACCTCTCACTTTAAGCATTATAAGATAAGATAAGATAAGTTAATCCTTTATTTATCCCACAATGGGGAAATTTACAGTGTTACAGCAGCAAAGAGCAAAGATTGCAAACAGAAAGTGAACACAGTACAATTTAAAGAAAAAAAGAAAAATTAAGAATGTACTAAAAAATAGATTTAAAAATAAATAAATAAAATGAAATAAAAATAAATATATAAAATAAAATAAAAATAAATAAATAAAATAAAATGAAATAAAATGAAATAAAATGAAATAAAATAAAATAAAATAAAATAAATAATAATAAAAAAAAACATAACTTACAGTGTTAAATCTTATCTGGCTTGTGAATTTTTTGTGCATACGTTCATTGTTCACAGAGGTCGAGTTTAAATGACTTTTGGGTGATGGATTTGAACATCATATGGTCCAGACATTTATTAGGCCTTCAGGATTAAATTAAGTTTGAATTAATATTTCATAGGGGTATTGACTGTTCCCAGAGGGTGAACTATAATGACTCTGGAGATCCTTCTTTTAATCTTCTTTTTATATACCTGGTTTGGGATGATGGTTTATTTCTGTCTTGTTTTATACCAAGAGTTCCACTTTCAGAACGGTCACTTTGTCCGTCGTTTTCTTGTGCTCTCTATTGTGTGTGAAAGGAGGCCGACTCACTCGCTGTAAACCAAATCTACCTTCGGGTAAAAATTAAGTTACTAATCTAAACCTAACCCAACCTTTAAAATTAGTGCCAACAGCAGGTGGACATGTTAAATAACTATCTCAATGAGAAGATGAGTTGGCACTGACTTTGACTTTTATAAAGACTCTCCTGGCTTTTCAGAGGATGAATCAAAATGAATTTGGAGATCCTCTGACTTCCCTCTTGAACCACCCTGAGGTTGACGTTTGTTGTCTAAATTGAATTCTTATTGACAACTTCTGGATAATTAGACAAGGAGTACAGGAGTATGGCCCAGATGTTCATAGCTATGCAGGATGAATTGCGGATAAAAAAATGTTGGGGATCATTAGGCTTTTCATCTAGCGCCACCATCTGGTTTAAAATGTACACTGGTCCAACATTCAACATGGATAGACTCAGAAATCGGGGAAAGAGAGAGAGAGAGAGAGAGTAGGTAACGACGTGTTGGAAAGAGGCCACAGGTCGGATTCAAACTCGAGATGCCTGCTTTCAAGAACTTTAGCCTCTGTAGTGGGGCGTGCACACAAACCACCAGGCTACCGGCGCCCCAAAGACAAGACTCTATGGCAAACATTAGCATGCTAACATGCAATATGATTGTATGTATCCAGCAATCCAACCATCCATACATACCTAATAATTCACTTTTATTAGTCTACATCTGTAAATTTTGTAATTACTGTACATAGCACAGACTCTTGCACTTTCTGCTTATTTGCACTTCTGGTGAGATGCCAAACCTCATTTCGTTACTCTATACTTGTATATGTGTAATGACAATAAAGTTGAATCTCATCTCATGTATGGTCAGTGTCTTAACCTGCTAAAGAGCAGCATGCTAGCATTTTCAGTTCGGGCAGGTAATCGTGCTTGTTGCAGAGTCAGTAACTTCTGATGTAATGAAAAATGAAGCTTAAGCGGATGTGTAAAAAAACTGCAGTTCCTTGAGTGTCCACTTGAGGCTCGCTCCAAAGACCCCCGGAAGTCACTTACACACCCATTTAAAAAATGATAATTTGGACAGCAGAAATAAACATGTTTACAGACTGGTACGCAAAATGATTCTGGTCTGAAAGGTTCATGTCTTTAACACACCAACAGGAGGGAATTTTTTATTTTATTTTATTTTATTTTTTTTGGCTTTTTGTGCCTTTAATGGAGAGATAAAACAGTGGATGGAGGTGGAAATCAGGGAGAGAGAGAGTGGGGAATGACATGCGGGAAAGGAGCCACAGGCTGGATTTAAACCTGGGCCGCCCGCTTGGAGGACTACAGCCTCCGTACATGGGACGTGCACACTAACCACTGTGCCACCAGGGAATTGTTTTTATAACTCATCCATGATTATTTTGGTTAAGTTGTGTGTAATTAGGGGTGTGACTGATATGAGTGCAAGCGGCCCACCTCTTTGCCTGTGTCCAGACAAACTTAGGTTGGAACATCATTTTCAATATGGCGTCTGTCATCGTTCAGCTTCAAAATCCCCCTGAAACTACGTCCATGTTTCATAGTATACAATCCGTGGTGCAGCCTCATAGAGCTGCTGGCAGAGCTGTACTTAATTTATAATCTGTTCCCAGAGACTTAACAGAAAGTGAGAATCTGGAGACCATTTGTAGCTGATGTTATCAACATGGGGTCCATTATCACTTATTTGCATTTTAATGCAGTCTTGATTGTTAATTAGAAAGAGAGGAAACCGTGACTTCGCCATTAACTGACGCAACAGCAGATTCAACTCAACCTCGCAACCCAAAAGTTCCTGACTGATCTAGTAAAGCGCTGTATTGACAATTAATTAATCAATTAAAAAATTATGGAGTGTGTGATGAGAACCATAATCATGCCCACATGCAGTCTGCCGCCTCGTGCTTCCAGTCTGGCTCGGTAATCAGAGGCGGTCTGCCGGAGCCCGGTCCGTGGGAGGGGAGGGGTCTGCCAAACCTTTCCCTCTAATTGACCAGGGAGCAGAAGCAGCCGGGGAGCGAGCAGCCACAGACGGGCAGAGAGGTAACTACTACAGCTAACCGCGTTTTGTCGCTTCACAACCTCTTATTGAAACACAGAGAGCGGATTTAGATTTGGAATCGCGTTGCAGGGATTCATCCAAGCCTTTATTTTGGAGCAGCATTCCGCGAAAGAATCGCACGGTAAAGTCTTACTGAGTTAATTTAAGACTTTAAAATGCTTTCGGTGCATGCAAGAGATGAGAGGGAGATGCAATATTATTTTTGCTTGTGCAGAAACAAAGCATCAGGTAGTTTATATAGCTCCGTACAGCCTCTTTATCTTTCTTTCTTCTTCTTTTGATTTACTGTGCAGAGACGGACGCATGGGCTTCACTAACCCCATGTTTCAATGGCTGATCTGGAACTGTTTTACTTTGATCACTCGGATCCAAGAGACACCTCCCTGTTTTTAAAGAATCAAAGTATCCACGGGCTCAGCTGCAGCAGCGGAGGAGGAGGAGGAGGAGGAGGAGGAAAGTCGCTGCGTCCCGGCGGAGGAGACGCTTCAGCACCATGGACAGAGACCCGGAAAGCCGCGTGGCTGGAGGGGGAAACAGAAACTGCCTTCACGTGCAAACAGCAACACGAGGAAGAGGAGGAGGAGGAGGATGTCCGGCTGATTGAGACAAGTTCAGTAACCTGCAGACTGAGTCAGAGCTCCTCAAGTGAACTGTACGAGGAGGAGGAGGAGGAGGAGGAGGAGGAGGAAGAAGATGAGGAGTACCCGGAACTTTACTTTTTGTCTGATGAAGACCTCTCCTCTGACGGCTCAGGGAAGTCTGTGGATTACGGCTTTATCATCGCAGTGACATGCCTGGTGACGGGCATCTCTCTGGTCGCCATATCCTACACGGTGCCCCGGGAGGTCCGCGTGGACCCGGACAGCGTCTCCGCCCGGGAGATGGAGAGGCTGGAGAGGGAGAAAGCCCGTGTGGGGGCCCACCTGGACCGGTGTGTGATTGCGGGACTGTGTCTGCTGACCCTAGGGGGCGTGCTCCTCTCCACCTTGCTCATGATCTCCATGTGGAAGGGGGAGATGATGAGGAGGAAAGCCTTCGCCTATTCCAAACACGCAGCCAAGTTGTACGGCTCCATCAGTCTAAGAGCAGGATCCAGCCCCACCCATTTGTCAGCGGCTGATGAGGATTTAGAAGTGCTCAGCTGAATGTATAGACTGAGAAAAGTACTTAAGAAATCCAAACAGCCTCTCCTATAACAGACGATCTGTTGGGGGATTAAATGCCTTTTTTTATTTGTGGAAGCTGAGGTGGACGTGGACTTTTTTAAAGGGCAGGTTCACATTTGTTTCAAGTTTGTCTTAATACATCTCTACCATGCCCTAATGTGTACTGAAAGAGGTTTTGTTTGCTTTAGTAGTTCCCTCTGTCTGTTGTATCTGCATGATGCTCTTTAGGTGAGCATTTAAAAAAAACAACCCTGATATATCAGCGAAAGAAACATTTGTTCGAAAGCTTTTGAGATGACAACACTCTGCACAGGGGGTTTTCAATTCTTAAAGACAAGGTTTTATCATCACTGGAGAGTTAGCACAGCAGGAAATGTTTTAGTTTTTCTTTGTCCATGGCGAGGTAACAATAGAAATACAGCATTCAGAAGAAAAAAAAGAATCTGCCAGGAATGTCAGCTTGCCTTGCATTAATTGTATTGGCCAAAATGGCAGCTTGTGATATACAATTGGCAGAGCTTTGAGTATTTTTTTGGGGGGAGGATGGCCAGGCTGAGAACCAGGCATCGGCCTTTATTTGCCAGAACCTCAAATAGGGTTTAGTCATCCTTTATTTTGAGCAATGGGCGTGTCCAGATTTTTTTTTTTCTGGGGTGGCCCAACTGGGACAATTATGAAAGGGTGGCATGAAGTTTGTGTGAACACACATTAATTAATTTCATTTCTTTGCCCTTTTCATTTCTACTTATCAGATCTACTTTTATGAAACACAAAAAGAGTCAACATATAAATCTTCTAAGCTTAGTTCTTTAAAGTTCAAAGTCACAAATTAAAATACTGTTGCACGCTGTCTAATTTGTAAAAATAAATTTCTTGGAATTAGTTCAGTACCAAAACGACTTCTAGGAGTTGATCTTAAAGTCCCACCTCTGATGAGGCAAATAGCCAGTCATAGTTTGGCACCTGGGGTTGCCAATCAGATTTCAATGGGGGCCTTGCCTCCTCTGACCACTGTCTTGGACACGCCCCTGTTTTGAGTATTGAAGACGCTATGCAGCCCACTTCAGCTAAACAATGTGACATAAAATAATGTTTTAAGACTTTAATTCAGTGGTTTTGTGTCTTTTATGTGTTAAAACTCATTCACACTTAATTCCAACAACTACAACAGAAGTGCTGTCAGGTTCTTCACAGACCCTCACAGATGGTTTCAAGAAGTCTCTGGTTGCCTTTTAAATCCACATTCACATTCAGTTATGGAAAAATAACAACAACTGCAAACAGAATATTGTAATTGTAAACATTCAATCACAGATTTTCCTGATTGCGCTGCCTTTAAAAATAATCATTTTATCCCATTAAATAAATGTACAACCCTGTTTGTGGAGTTGGCGACCAAAAGCAAACAAGAATTGGTCTCCAACGGCAACCAGGCCACTTTGACCCGCCAGCCTGATTGCAATGCTTGTCCAAGCTAGGTTCAGATGTTTGATGGATGACCCTCCATCACCAGGCTGGGGGAGGTTATGTTTTTTTCATGTGCGGTCAAAATGTGTCTGTATGCAGCCTTGATTTTGGAAACGTCCATCTTTGTGTCATCATACGTCCACCATACTGCAACTCAGCATAAAAACACTGTCCTGGAAAAACACACAGAGAGTGAATTTGGAACTAAGCATTCATATTTCTAAGATAGCTTCTTTATTTCATGAGCCCAGGCTAGACATCATTTTAACTTTATTGGACACATTAATTGGAACGTATCTCTTTACAGTCAGCATGAGCGAGAGCAGCAAACACAGCAGCCATATACATATGGGCATTTTAGTGCTGTATTAATATTTAAACTTAAGTTCAAAGGAGAGATAATCTGTGCTCCCAGGGTTCTAGCTCAACATCCTCTCCATTTGACACACTAAGGAAAGATTTTGAAAGATTTTGTGTTCTCTGCGGGAGTTTTTTCTTTGGATTAATACGTACAAATCACCACCTACCGCATTCAGATATAAACCCTCAAGTTTGCAGGGAAGACTGTAAAAGATTTCCACACTGACTGAACAAGGTTGTTTTTTTTTTTTGCATTCAAACTGCATTTCAAACTTCCATCTCATTTTGTTCTTTTTGCATCTTGAACTGCAAAGTCAGCCCTTCTATATCTTACAACATAAATAAAAAACAAGACTCTGAGACTCTGGGGATAACCCTGTTTCGAGTAGGATCTACTTTATGTCTTGGTTTGAAATGAAACATGATTTATGCTTTCCTGAAATAGATATTACGTTTCTCTGAGTGGCTGCTGGTCTGCCTTTTTTTTTTGACGATCTCTGACCTGACTTTTTGTTTACTCCTGCATCACTGCTCCTAATGATGCTGCCATTTCAGAGAACTTGTGTTTTTACGCGCCGCTGCAGGCTTGTATGTTGAAGGCCTGTGTGAACACTGCGGCTGCGAGTCATTAGTCCTGCCTGCACCTTGTCAGAACACAGCACATCATTGAATAGCAGCCAGCAGAGCTGTGCAGATCTGGTTTAACAGACAACAAATGCATGAATCTGTGTTGAGAATGCTGTTGACTGTGCCTGTGTTTGCTCCCATTTGTTGAAACAGTATACCGCAGGAGGTGTAATTAGGTTTTGTGGTTGTGTACCGCTGTCTGATGCTCCGTTTACCCTAAACACTCTGAGGGGCCACAGATGTTTCAATGCACACAAACAAAGTGAGACAGAGAGAATCAACAAACCCCTGGAGGGACACTCTCCTGGTAATTGGTGTTATTTAATTGCTCGTGGGAGGCCTGAGAGTCAAAGAGAAAAAAAAACCAAAACATTTCAACTACTGCAATAATCAAGCCGGAAACAGCTTCTTATTAAAAACGAAATCGCTCCAGCTGCACTACTGGAGTGAAATTTGACATACGACGAGGGAGAGTAATGGATGTCCTGCTGCTCTGACAGAAGAATGCTGTGAATGAACAATCGTGTTTTCCTGAATGCTGTGCTGTGCAGCCTTTGTAATCGGAAGTGCTTACGGCCAGCAGGATCGCATTATCCTCCACGCGACCTTCGCTCACCCTCACCTCAATAATACAATTACAAAAGATCCAATCAGATGCCCTCTTGCTAAAATATCAACCTGATTTCTTGTCCTCCTTTAGCGCCATGGTTCACAGGTGTTTTTAGAAATCCCCCCTCTTTGATGATATTTCACATCTTTAACTTCTGACTCATCTGCTCCAGTAGGTTGATTTTGTTCATCTCCCCAGATTGGCTCTTTTTTGTTGCAGAGAACAGCTGTGATCGTGTTGGGTTAAGTTTGTGAGGGTTGCAGAGAGCGGCGTGGCATAGTGAAAGCAGGAAAGTGAGTTTCACAGTATGGAAAACATGAAAGTCAGACTCTTAAATCAATCCTCAGCCCTCGATGCACTCATGGCTCTTCTGAGGACTCGTGTCTGCAGGGAAGCCAGCTCAGATTCAGAATATATATTTCTCCCCGGCGATGTTCATTTATAATGATTCAGTCTGGAGAGAACCTCCTGACATTTACTGCTGCAGTGTTGGTGACATGGAGGTTTGTCTGTAACAATGTGGGAAAAACATCTCATTTTGAAACTCACTGCCTGTGTTTGAATAGCCCTGGAAATAAACAACGACTTTTTAACAACACAAAGCGGCTGTGAGGTCTTTGTTTTCAAATCAAACAAGTAATAAGAGTGATTTAAACAACAGGCTGATTTAATGATAATAGTAGGTCCTTTAATCTCTGGCTTAATCTTTTGTTATGTTGCCAGTATTTGTGTTTTCCAACTTCCAGCCTCTCTCAGTTGGTAGAGTCGTCGTCACTCAACCAGAAGATCCAGGGGTTCGATCCCCGCAGCTTCTGCAGCCACACGCTCGATGTGTCCTTGGACAAGATACTTACCCCCAAATTGCTCCACTGCTTCGTCGCCGGCGTGTTGTATGAATGGGATTAGTTCCTTCTGATGGTCTCACTTCATAGAATACTTTGCCATCAGTGTGCGCCAATGGTTTGAATGCAGTGATCATTTTTTAGCATCCAGTGAGGACAGTTACTAAAAAGCCAATTTGCTGCTTAACATTCAAATTGACCCGTGAGACACAGAACAGTGTAATGAGGGATTATCAATCCACCAATCAATCAGTTTTTCCAAAATTTGCTGACTTAAAATGACCCTGATGTCATGACATCATGGCACGGCACACAGCATATCATTTACACTTCTACAATTTTCATCAGTTTTAGTTTTAGACGTATTTGTGCTATGAAAGGACTTCACTGTTGCCATTTCCATTCAGGTAAGTTTTTCCTTTATTCAGTTACTCCTACTCACCCATCTGTTGAATCAGCTGCTGTAGTGTCCTCACTGGATGGTAAATGTTACATACACTGCACTCGTACTTTCTAGTCCTCCAGTGATTCAAAGAGCTTTACTCCTCATTGGAGTTGGCATTCAAGCGTTCTCATTCATTTTCTAAGAAAGAATGTTTTAAGTCAGGATCTTGCCTGAGTAAACAGCAGGAGCTGGTGATCACGCTGTTGTTCTGGTTAGACCCTGACCCGCTAATGAGAGAAAGACAAAGAGGCGTTTGAAGTACAGGGATTAGTCAAAAACAAAACTAACATCAGTTAGCCTTGAAGTAAGACTGGAAGAAATAATGACATGAAACCATCGACTTCTGAGGTAAATGTATTCCAGGATTGCGAAAAGAAAAGTGGTGCAAGAGTAAAGACTGTTAATGTGGCTACAAGCTGCAGGGTTGTAGCCACCCCAAATCTGATTGGCCACCCCAAGTGCCACCACATGATCCTAGAATATGATTGGAGATCTACCCGAGGCAGGACCTGTCTACAAATAAGCTTATTGGTTTGTGTTGCTGCAGATCGGATTTGTCAGATTTCTCCTTACATGATACATCTTTTTGCCAATTTAAGAAGGGGGAGGGGTGGGGGGGGGGTGTCACTGCCACACTGTTACACCTCAAATGCAATGTGTTACGCATGGAGGCAGAATTGAGGGGGAGGAAATCGGATGCAGTAACAGAGGGGGAAGAAGGTGGCAGTGTGTAGTGTTGGAGGAGGCAGGACGGAAGCTGAGTGTGTGATTGTCAGACTGTGTGTGTATGTGAAGCTCCTGAGTTTGCACGTCGTGACTCCTGCGCTTCTGCAACGCCATCATGCGATTACGGAAACCGCACAGTGAGACACCAGTTTCCTCTGTTGCAGATGCAATGTGTAATCGGCTAGAAATAATCAAGCATGAAAGATACGCACTCATAAGATATCCTGATGCTTGTAACTTAAGTTGATAGGATTAGCGGAGACAGAAATGGTAAATATTTGTGTTTGTGTGCACAGACGTCATCCCAACTCCCAATAAGTCAGAGACCCTTTTTGGACATCCTGGTTCAAACATGTCCACACCCTCTTATCTTCTTGGTAATATAAAAACAATCCTCCAGCTTTTATCAGATTCAGATTCTTTCTTTTGTTAAATTCTAACGCTAAATAAATCCATAGACCAACACAAAAAACACAGACCTTGCATCCTGTGAAACGGCCAGTGTGGGTCCTTCTACCGATGCAGACAAAAGTGTGTTCACGCAGAGCTGCAGCCGAGAGAAAAAGCAGGAAGAGAAGGGTTGAAGCAGCTTCTTCTACAGGAGCTTTATTAGCGATGTAAAAAGGGGCTGAGACACTGCAGCAGCTTTAATTGGTGTCTGTGTTTGTTTGGCCAGGGGACTCTCCAAGACACAAAATCAAACCTGTAATAAAAGACGACACACACACACACACACACACACACACACACGCAGAATCCCACGCACATGAACGCGGCGTGAATTGTTCAGGCACAAAATGTGTGTCTATTTCAAAGGAAACACCCTGACAGACAAATGGACACACACACTATCAGCTTCCTCACACACACACACAGACACACACCCCTCCTCTTCCTCCACTCCTCTGCCATGAATGGAGTCAGTCAGAGTAATCATTCAGGGCAGCTAGCAGCAGGAAATGGAATTGGATTGCTCCAGGGGTCACTCAGGGTCAAGAGCCAGGGTGTGGCTCTGGAGTCAGGGGACCAGAAGGGAGAAAAGCCTCAGCGGCGGCGTTTTGCATCAGCGTCTGGCTGCCACTTATCATCAGCTGTCATAACCACTCATCGTACTGAGTGGCCGGGCACCAGGAAAATCTCTCTCTCTCCATCACACAGTCATGCCTACTATGTTCTGTCTGCTTGGTAAATTAGGAGTAAGATCATGTCTCCAGGTCTGAAATGCCTCTCTTGAACTATTGCCTTAAGTTAATGACTTATTCAATAATGATTCTCGTTACCCAGATTGTCGCATAGCAACGGCAGGCGGTCACAGCTTGGAGGAAGAAGAAAAAGAGGAAGGGACAGAGTAGAGAGAGGAAGGGAAAAAAAGGAGAAGGAGAAGCAGAGGAAGAAGCTGGAAATAAAATCACCCTCCACATCATTTATCAGCTTTATTCATTCAGCTCAGAGGGTTTTAAACCCCCTGAAATCCTGCTCGAACTGACACCGCCGCCTTTCAAGCTGTCTTTCAGGAGGTATTCAGAGCTGAAAGCTGTGAGGCGGGTGAACCTGGAGGCTGCATTTTAACTTCTGTCTTTGAGGGGGAGAAAAGTCAACAAACTGGAACTTTTTACTGATCAGTTTAAAACTCTAGACTCTGTGATCAAAGCTCGTCCCTCTGCGGGTACACTGGTTGTGTTTGGCACTGCGTACTGTCATTTCATGAAGTCTCTTTGTTGCAATCTGCCTCATCGGGGGGGGGGGAGCAACCTAAAAACCAAATGGTTTTGGTAAATTAAAGTTATTTCTTAATAAAGAAGTAAAAATTGTGCTGCAGGGGTGCTGGTGGCCGAGTGGTTAGTTTGCCTGCCAATGTAATAATAATAATAATAGACTTTATTTGGCATGGACATCACAGATACATTGGACGAACCAGATGCATTGCA